ACATCAAGTCTCTCTGGGAAAAACGTTACCCCATTTAGAGATCCAAGATGAAAAGTAGGTATGTGTGAGTGTGTGTTTGTGTGTGTGTGACAAATCTACAGTCACTCAGTTGCCAGGTTGCAGCCTGTTCTTCTCCATTCCAGATCCTCAATGGTACTACCTGGAGGTCTCAAGGTTGAAATGTACAGTTAGGGTGCATTTCAAGAGTAATCAATAACACACTGAAGATATTTAACTGGGCATCAGCGATAGGCCTCACCTAACAATGTCAAGTATAGTCAAGGACATGGTTTTCCCAGTTGCAATGTATGGCTGTGAAAGATGGACCATAAGAAAGGCTGAGCGCCAAAGAATTGAGGCCTTTGAACTATGGTGCTGGAGAAGACTCCTGCGAGTCCCCTGGACTGCAAGGCGATCAAACCGGTCAGTCCTAGAGGAGATCAACCCTGACTGCTCTTTAGAAGGCCAGATCCTAAGTTGAAACTCAAGTACTTTGGCCACCTAATGAAAAGGAAGGACTCACTGGAGAAGAGCCTAATGCTGGGAAAGATTGAGGGCAATAGAAGAAGGAGACGACAGAGAATGAGGTGGCTGGATGGAGTCACTGAAGCAGTAGGCGTGAGTTTAAATGGACTCCAGAAGATGGTAAAGGACAGGAAGGCCTGGAGCAACGTTGTCCATGGGGTCGCGATGGGTTGGACACAACTTCGCAACTAACAACAACAAACAATTTCAAGTAAATGTTGAGTGGAGAGACATTTGAGAACTTCACACCTCAGAGTTTTAGAGACAGATCTTTCCTCACCACCACCAACTGGAACCATCCTCAGAAGAAGGAGGGAAACCACTGCAAAACTGTGCCCCATGTTCCAAACTCTTGAAGCCAGTCTAGAAGAATACCATGATGAAGTTACTGAAAACTGCTAAAACCCAGGACAGATGTACTACCCTCCATGCCTAGCCCTCTAGTCATCCACAAGTACAATTAATGCCATCTTGGTACTATAACCTGGCTTCTCACATCTAACTCAACCCCCCCCCCAGACTGACTTCTAGCACTTTGAAAAATAGCTAATCTCACTGCCTTCCCCCCTGTAATTAATCAAAATCCCATGGAGAAGAAGTAGGCAGGCATGCGTTCCCTTGTGACTGAGAAATCCCAATTTCCCAGGGGTTTATGCAAGAACCTCAACACATAGGGCAGGGTCCCTATTCAGTAATTAAAAAACACTGTGGCTGATTTCTCTACCTGTCTGCATATTTTTCCCATTCTTCTCCCCACAGGTGTGTGTGTGTGTGTGTGTGTGTGTGTGTAAGAGAGAGAGAGAGAGAGAGACAAAGAGACACACAAAGAGAGAGACAAAAGAGAGAGAGACTGTCAAAAGATGTGGGATTTCTGCACTCTTCATTATATTAAACTGTCAGTTTATATACATAATCCTACAATTATGCTTTTCCTTTACATGTACACACAGTCATGGAAAATGGTTTGTTGAATTTACTATGTGGATCCAACAACATGAAATTCAATGTGGAGAAAAGCACATTACACCTAGGCAGAAAAAAACCAAAGGTGCAAGGTGGCGAACCTTTTAGAGACCGAGTGCCCAAACTGCAACCCAAAACCCACTTATGTATCGTCGGGTGCCAGGTGGGTGTGATCCATTGGGTGGGTGTGGCCCATTGGGTGGCTTCGGTGGTAACGGCAGACTGGGTGGGACTAAAAAATTCAATCAATCAATTCCAACTTTGCAAGATCTTTTTTTTTCCTGCGAGAAGTTGAAATTGATTGATTGAACCTATTTTTTTTGCACACAGTGGTGGAGGCCTAAAGCGAAAAGGTTTTATAAAACCCAGCTGAAGGCCTAGGACTGGGACGAAGGCGTGTGTGCCCACAGAGAGGGCTCTGCGTGCCACCTGTGGCACGCGTGCCATAGGTTCGCCACCACGGGATTAGGTGAAACCTGGCTCAGAAACAGTAACTGTGAGAGGAAACGTGGAGTCCTAGCGGACAATCACTTAACTATGAGTCAGCAGTGTGCGGCGGCAGCCAAAAACGCTAATATAATTCTTGGTTGTAATAAACAGAGGCATATAATCAAAATCACATGAAGTATTAGTACTGCTTTATAAATCCTTAGTAAGACCACACCTGGAATACTGCATACAGTTTTATTCACATTAGACTTTGGGAAAAGTGCAAAGAAGAGCAACTAAGATGATTAAAGGCCTGGAGACAAAAACATATGAATGGTTGCAGATATTGAGTATGACTAGCCTAGAGAAAAGAAGGACTAGGGATGATATGATAACAGTATTCCAGTATTTGAGGGGCTGCCATAAAGAAGAGGGGGTCAACTTATTTTCCAAAGCACCAGAAGGCAAGACAAGCAACAATGGATAGAAACTAATCAAGGAGAAAAGGAACATGGGATTAAGGAGAAACTTCTTAACAGTGAGAACAATTAAACCAGTGGAACAGCTCGCCTTCAGAAGCTGTAGGTGTTTCATCGCTGTAGGTTTTTAAGAAAAGACTGGACAACCACCTCGCTGAAATGGTATAGGGCAGTGGTGGCGAACCTATGGCACACGTACCAGAGGTGGCACTCAGACCCCTTTCTGTGGGCACGCGCACTATGCCCCGGAATGGCAACCGTCCCTCTTCAATCATTTGCCCGCTAACTCGCCGAGGTCCCACAGGGCTGGATGCATCCCAGCACCCATGCGCTCACTGGCCTCTGTGTGTGGGGGCCGATGGTGTCAGGCAGTAGCTGCCCCGGCCCCTGCCTCACCTTGCCCTGCGACAATGGCACCTTCGCTGTGCCTCACCTTGCCTCACCCTGCAGGATGAGCCTCCTGCCCACCGCCCCATCCGCCAGAGACCCCCTTGATCTCCCCCAACCCTGCCGGGCCCCCACATGCGTCCCTCCCCACGAGCAACATCGAGGTGATCACGCCCACCTTGGCCACACCCACCCAATCTGCCATGATCACCACAGTCACGCCCACCAAGTGGGCCATGCCCACCTGGCACCCAGCGATAAATAAGTGGGTTTTGGGTTGCAGTTTGGGCACTCGGGTCTCTAAAAGGTTCGCCATCACTGGTACAGGCTCTCCTGCTTGAGCAAAGGGTTAGACTAGAAGACCCCCCCCCCAAGGTCCCTTGCAGCTCTGTTTTGATTGATTGATTGTATTTTCAATGCTTTCACCAAAGCAAGAAGAGCTTGGATCACCAAACTAGGACTGTTCATCATATCACATTGCAGCATCATTTCACACCAGATCACAAACTGGTGAATTTACCTCAAATAGTAAACTCAAACAGGGTTGACCAGCTTCTGTATGTTTTCTGTATTCTGTATGTCTTGGGAATACAATCACTGGACAATCAATAGCTTGGCGTCCTTTCATTCTAATCGGATGCCTGGCTGTGGGATTTGAGAAACATAAACCCTATTGTATAACTACTACCCGGATCAAAGTTTTATTTTAATAAGCTCTGAGTCTGGTCCTTTCTTCTAAGTGCATGTTTCATATATATATGTGAATATGGATAGACTCTTCACAGGTTACAATTTTTGGAGTAGAGAACCCCAAATGGCAGATGTCCCACACTAAACCACAGAGACAGGGATGTCTAGTTCAGTGTGTATGTGTCCGCAGGATGGAAAATGTGGTATTGGGACCCAAGCTCCATCTCTACATGCAGGTGTAAAAGGAATGGGGCTTTGACTGTAATGCCATATGTGCCATCTTGCAGATGTTGACAGCACTGTCTCCATAAACACCCAGCGTAAAATGGACTGTACGGGTTGAGCAAGCACAGTACCATTGTACACCATTTCAAGGCGGAAAGACAAGCATATTTTGGGGATTCTTTAATTTCCTGCCCTGAAGAGTGAGGGCTGACCTAAACGCCCAATTCTAAGCATTTTAGCTTAGCACAAACACAGCAGAAGGCTTGTTGTGGAAATAAAATTAGGTTCTAGGCTTCCTTGAACCTCTCACAGTGTACTAAATGAATGGAAAGAAAAGCAGCGAACTGGGTGTTCATCAAGCGACATAAGAATTTCTCCAAGAAATTTGCATAATTTATTAAGCATCGTAGCTTCTTAAAGTTGCTTAAACTTCTCCAAAGGAAGTCAAGTTGGAATGCTGATGAGAATTCTCCAAAGACATATAGCTAATCCCAAGAGTAATTGTTTAAAAAAACAAGCAGTGACCATTTAGAAGGCAAAGGAGAAAAAGAATAATTATTTATCACGACTATTTTTAATGATTATTATATTTAGAACGTATCCATCCAAGTTAATATTTCACATCAAAGAATTTGAGCTGCCAGCCAGTTTTGGCAGGTATCTATTGTTCCTTGGCCAAATGTAATCATAATGCAATCCTTCAGACTTCTGCACACTCCAAAATGGCATTTAAGATATATATGCAAAGAACGGGGCTGGGTGGGCTGGGTGACAGCGCGCATGTTTATGTGTTTGTAGAGAACCGAAGCTGCATGGAGCCACTTTAGAAGCATCCGGATGCAGCCTAACCCTGAAGGGCCTTGAAAAGAAGCGCTCTGATAGAAACAGCAAATTGGGAGCTCGGGGGCTCTTTCCGACCCTTTAATCCTCACCAAACGTTCCCCTCCTACGGATCTCAACGTTTCAACCGAGCTTGCACAAAACTGCCACTAACTAAACTTGGACGGGCCACCGGGCACCCAAGTCTCAGGCGTGCAGGGGTTTTCGCTCGCTACTAATTGCAAAGCCGGGTCGGGACTGCAAAACCCTGGACGAGAGATCCCTTCCAACTGCATGGAGCGGGAGCGGGACGACCCTGCTTGGCGCGTTGAACCGTCTAGTTCGGTTGCGGGAGCGACCGGGCTGCTCTGCTGTTCAGACTAAGCTCCGTCCCCAGCGGCGAGAGTCGCTTCGGAATAAGCCTATCTAGCACCGGGCTCCAGAGGAGGACGGGTAAGCGCGCCTTTCTGCAGGCTAACCGCCACAACTCCCCGCCCCCCAGAGGGTTTCCCTCCGGCGCAGCCTTGCAACCCGTCGGCTTTCGGGGACGCCGCTCCGCTGAGGTTTGATCCCCAGAGCTGGTGGGAGGGGAATAACAGAATAACAAGAGTCACACTATTAGAACGTGTCATAGAATAACAAAAGAGTTGGAAGGGACCTCGGAGGTCATCTAGTCCAACCCCCTGCCTCCGGCGGGAGACCCTATACCATTTCGAACAAGGGGCTGTCTCAGTCGCTTTCTCGAAAGCCTCCAGGGGAGGGAGCAGCCACAACTTCTGGAGGCAAGCCGTTCCCTAGGATGATTGTTGGCGCTCTCAGAAAATGTCTCCTTATTTCTAGGTCGAATCTCTCCTTCCACCCATTGTTCCTTGTCCTCCTCGCAAGAGGGGCGGGGGAGAAGCGAGGAGGCACCGGCCTCCCACCGAGCGCCCCTCTCCGCCGCCACCGGCTTTAACCTCTCTCGATGGGCAGCGGAGACTGCCCGCTTCCTCGGGCTGCCGCGCCGCGCCGCTCTTCCTCCTCCTCCTCCTCCTTCTCTCCACCCCTCCGGCTTGGTCGGGCGCAAAGGGAGGGGCAGGGGGTGTCGCTCTGCCCGCGCGGGGAGGCGCCCCCGATCCGCCCTCGGCAAGAGCTGGCTGAAAAGCAGGCGGGCGCGGACGGGTCAGTCGCGCTCCTTAGCCGGCGGTGATGTCGCTGCTCGCTAGCCCCGGCGCTTCCCACAGGGGGACCAGATTGCCGTTCAGGTGGGTGAGCCTCCGTGGGTGCCCCCCCCCTTTTTGCCGCCGCCGCGTCTGAGCTGCCCCTTCCTTCTCCCCTCCCTCCCTCCCTCCGCCGGGCGGGGCTTCTGGCGCGCGCTGAGTTAGGGAAGACGCCCCCCCCTCCCGCCATCTCGCGGGCTGCTGCTGCTGCTGCTTTCCCGAGAAGCTAACGCGGTCTCCCCTGTCGAGGATGAGGGAAACCCGGCTTCTACGTCCGCCGCTCCCTCGGGCGAAGAGAGCGGGGAAAGGGCGGCTTCCCAGCGCCATCCTTCCTCTCGCTCCCTTCCCGGCTCAGCCTACCTCGCAGGGGTGGTGTTTTTTAGGGGGGAGGGGCAATCAGGGACGCCGCGAGAGGGAGGACTAATGCCCCCCCCCCAGAACCCCCTATTGTAAAAACAAGGAGCGCCTTTCATTAGGGAACGGAGTAAATCTTGGCTTCACTGAATCGGCATCAGCGCCCTAAAAAAAAAATAATAAATTGCCGGGGACCGTGCCTCAGTTTTGGGGTTCGGGCAGCCGGTCGGATTCTTTCCCCCTCCCCACATGAGGAGGGCTGGCGCTGCCCAGAGACGCCTCGGAAATCCGCGGGACGGGCTGCGGGGGGGGGGGAGCGGCGGCGGCGCCGGGCGGACGGGCGGGGGAGGGGGCGTCAGGGGCGCCCATGCGCTGCTCGCCTTCTCTGCCCCGCCCCTATTCCGCGGCGCGCGGTTGCCGGGGTTCCAGCTGGGAAGGGGGCTCGCGGGGCAGGCGCCTACGGAGAAGGAGTGGTAGGGCATGGAAACTCCCCCCCCCCCGCCACCCCAGGCAGCGGCTGCAGCTTCACGCCTTGGAAACCGGAGCCCGCGTCTCAAGAGACGAGAGTTGAAAGTTCCGGGGAGCCTCCCCTCGCTCTGCTGTACCTTCCGGGGGAAAGTTGGGGCAGGGATCCCCCTAGAGCAGTGGTTCTCAACCTGTGGGTTGGGACCCCATTTGGGGTCGAAGGACCATTTCACGGTCGCCAAACCACGCTGTCCGCCATTTTTTTCCTTTTTCCCCAGCTGTTCTACTCCCTCTTATTGGTGGCCACACCCACATGGGGGTCACCACAACATGGGAACTGTATTATGGGGTCACAGCATTAGAAAGGTTGAGAACCACTGCCCTAGAGGCTGGCTAGAAGGTCAACTGGGCGATGGGGGCACGGTGGGGGCGGGGCAGGGTCAAAGCGGGAGCCTCTCACTTCGACCCCAGTCACTGTGTGTGGATCCTCCATCGGGTGTTCAACGGGTGGCAAAACACCCGGTGCCAGTGCCAGTTTGTGGCTCCGGGTGACTTGAAAAAAAATAGGAATTTGGTACAAGTAGTCCTCGAGTTAACGACCGACTTTAATGTTGCTAAATGCAGTCCGAGGTTTATGTTGCTAAATGAAACATTTGCTGAGTTGAGTTTTGCCCCATTTTATGACTTTCCTTGCCACGGTTGTTAAGTGAATTGGTGCATTTATCAAATTAGTAGCACGGTTGTCAAGGGGATCTGGATTTCCCCATTGGCTTTGTGTGTCAGAAAGTCACAAAAGGTGATCAAGTGACCGTGGGACACTGCGATCATCATAAATGCTGACCACTTGCCAAGCGTCTGGATTTTGATTACGTGACTATGGGGATGCTGCAATGGTCGTAAGTGTGAAAAATGCTCATAACTCACTTTTTTCAGTGCCATTGTAACTTTGAATGGTCACTAAATGAACTGTTGTAAGTCGAGGACTACCTGTAAGCTCATGCAGTTTAGTCTGAAAAGGTGTGACCAGATAGCCCGTGACTATGGTACACAATACAGCACTTCTACAGCAGGTACCTTACAAAGTTGTGGTCAACTCGAAAATAACAATATAGCAAAATAACAGAGTTGAAGGGACTTTGGAGGTCTTCTAGTCCAAACCCCTACTCAAGAAGGAAGCTTATACCATTCTGGACAAATGGCTGTCCAATCTTTTTTTAAAAAACCTCCAGTGATGAAGCACCCACAACTTCCCAAAGTAAGGTTTTCCACTGATAAATTGTTATTACAGTCAGGAAATTTTTCCTTCGTTCTAGATTGGATCTTTCCTTGATAAGTTTCCGTCCCTTAACTTCTTGTCCTATCCAATCTTTATCAACCTCCAAGATGGGTGGACTTCAACTCCCAGAATTCCCCAGCCAGGAATGGGGAAAAGAAATTGTATCCAGCACCCTCTATATTTGTGTATGTGTGTGTGTTTGAGAGAGAGTGAGAGTGAGAGTGAGAGAGAGAGAGAGAGAGAGAGAGAGAGAGAGAGAGAGAGAGTGAGTATATATATTACATAGGATAATATGTAATTTGGGCAGCAGCCTTTCCTAGAAGTTGACAATTTTGTACACTGTTGCCCGGGGGATTGAAGTTCCAAGCAGAGGGTGGACTAGAAGTCCTTCAAGGTCCCTTCCAACTCTATTATTCTGTTAAGTTAGTGCAAGTATGCGGAGTCTGGTTCCTTGATTTTTCTTGCAGCCCCTGTAGCGAGAGCGGCTGCAGGAAGCCTCTCTAATTTCTTCTATGTAGCCAAGTGCTGTAATGGGTTTGGCAGAAGTCTGTGATTTTGCATAAACCTTGTATTATATTTTTCTGGAGATTTTTTTTTTCTTTGCAGCCCTGGCCAGATCTAATCTGTATTGGATCTTCATTATTCATTTGGTACCTCTTTCGCCATCCTATTGACTAATGGAGAATTAGTTCTGAACTCCTTCATATATGTTTATCTCAAAGATGGACTATTCTGCAGCTTTCTTTAGTCCCTCTTCTGTTTCCCGAGAACATCTGTGGAGTCAACAAGGATAAATTTTCCCAACAGGACAGTGGTAAACTGACAGCCAGGGTGGGGGTTTCAGTTTACTACTTCACTTATCACAAATCTAAAAACACCGAAAAATACAATTAAAAAACCCCCCAGCAATAATTCTGTGTGAATTTGCTTTGCAGACAAACCATGTTTCCTTTAGTTCAAAGACAGATGAACGATGAGGGCTGGGGAAAAAGATAAGTAATGAGGAGGCAGCAAATGACTCGTTGATTTCCAGGCTCAGAATCTAAATGGTACCGTATCTTATTAGTATTTCCATTAGGAAATTCCCAGGGTTCATGGATATCCACAGGGTATGGTCAGAAAAGTCGAGATGACTGCAGCTGAAGCTCTCTGTTTTTTATGTACCTTAGGCAGAACTTTTGACTATACCATTGTGGCCACGTCTTGACTTTTTTGACCGTACAAGTTAGATAAGATAAGATAACCTTTATTGTCATTTTTTTTTACTGTGGGCACAACGGCACACATCAAAAATGAAATTTAGTTGCCCACTCTCAAAGTTCACCCTTGCTAAGAGTTGGAGGCTGAATTAGGAAGCTGAAAAAAAATCCATTTTCAGTGACAAATAACCTGTAACTGTTGCCAAGAACATACGGAGTTGCTTGATTTGATGTAGAAATAGAGGAGACCCCTATAAGTCTGTCCACAATGAAATTGTCTGTTTTATTCAGTTGCCCTGAATCCTTTATTATTTAAGTACTATTTAAATCATTGTTTCTCAACCTTGGCGACTTTAAGATGGGTGAACTTCAACTCACAGAATCTGGCTGGGGAATTCGGGAGTTGAAGTTCACCCATCTTAATGTTGCCAAGGTTAAGAAACAACCTTGGTAGGACAGGAAGTAACAAACGGAAAATTATCAAGGAGAGATCCAACCTAGAAACTGTGAGGAATTTCCTGTCAGTGAGCATAATTAATCAGTGTTGCTTTCAGAAGTTGTGGATGCTCCTTCACTGGAGGTCTTTAAGAAGAGATTGGACAACCATTTGTCCAGAATGGTATAGGGCAGTGGTTCTCAACCTGTGGGTCGGGACCCCATTTGGGGTCAAACGACCATTTCACGGGGGTCACCAAACAACACAGTCTGCCATTTTTTCCCCTTTTCCTTACCTGTGCTACTCCCTTTTATTTTATTTTATTCTATTTTATTCTATTGGCTTTTGAAAGCCAATAGAACAGACTCTCTTGAATAGAGTCTAATTCTATTGGCTTTCAAAAGCCAATAGGAATTGTCCAGGCTGTCTCTGCCCTGCTGAGCCCGCCAAAAGTCCATTCTGCAAACGGTGCTGCACCAGTTGAGTAGTCCTCGACTTACGACCGGTTGAGTAGTCCTCGACTTATGACCGGTTGAGGGGTCGCGGCATTAAAAAGGTTGAGAACCACTGGTATAGGGTCTCCTGCTTGAGCAGGGGGTTGGACTAGAAGACCTCCAAGGTCCCTTCCAACTCTGTTATTCTGTTTTAGAGGCTACAATACTTCAGAGTTTCAGATGTCCTGCGCTCAATACATGAATTCTCCACCCTGCCCTTTCGGAGAGAGCAACTCTTGTGTGGGGTTGAGGGTGGATTACTGGAATGACTCTGCAGCTGCTGTTCTGCCCTTTCTCAAAGTGAGAGAGAATGAGAGTTGCTGCTATCGAAGTCCATCCATCTTCCTCAGCCTAAGAAGTCAGAAGCCCAGGCGATCTGGACCACCCAGGCTGCTCTCCAAAATGCACGTATTAGGACAGGAATTCTTTTGCATGTGCTTCCAATAAGCTCTGCAGTTAAGCAGATGGATTTGAACTTGGTAGCCAAGTTCAATCCAGCCCAAATATTTGCTCTCCTCAGTAGGGCTTCTTAGAGCCCCAACATTTTAGCAGGGATATTTTCCACTCTCACCTAATGTTGCCTCCCCATGAGAAAATAAGCACTAGATTTCTCTCTCGTTAAGGCAAGTTTAACCAAATGCTTAGAATGGCAGGCTTAGCCGTTCTATGTAGTCCATGCTGACAGGGCATCTGGGCTATCCCCTTGCTCCTATGTGCCCTCTTGGATGGGCTGTTTCTGAATCCAGATACAGCCTTTTTCTGAAAAATTACTAAACCCAGGCTCAGAGGAAACTGAGGAGGAAGCCAGTCAGACAAGGGCTGCTCCCATAGATTTCCCATGAGAGACTGGTAACTAAGAAGGCCAACTCAAGCCTCAGGTTCAGTAGCATCTAGAACAGGAGTATAAACTGCCGGCCCATGGGCCAGATGCATCACACAGAAGCCGCGCCCACTCCAGCTCCGGCAAGGTGAAAAAGGTCAAAATACGTTGCGACACGTCATGTTTGACACCCCTGTTCTAGACGTAACCATTGGTCAGCCAAGAAGAGCTTGCCCACTGAAGCAGATCTTTGGAATCACGTGTGAGTAAGCCTCTGAACCTTTAATCTGTACACCATCCTAAGACCACAGACATCCCTGCTTTCAGAACTTGAGTTACAAGAAAGCATGCTATTGGCTTCTCTTTCTCCAGGGCACTGCAAACCTAGAGGCATCTCTGCTCCTGATTCAAGAGATGTTCATGCACACGTAACCTGTCAGCAACTCCTGCTGCCAAACCCATCTTTCCTCAGTGCTGGACCACAGCTGCAGAACCATCTGTGCAATTGTAGGAAAAAACACAGCAACTATATTGCTAACTGGTGTTATATCAAGATCTACCTCCACCCCTCTCAAAGGCCTTGAAGTTGCATCCTAGTAATCTTAGAAGAAGAACATTGGAAGTTGTTATTTAGAGGCCTCTGTTATTGTTGTTAGTTGCGAAGTCATGTCCGACCCATCGCGACCCCATGGACAATGTTCATCCAGGTCTTCCTGTCCTCTACCATCTTCTGGAGTTCATTTAAGCTCATGCCTACTGCTTCAGTGACTCCATCCAGCCACCTCATTCTCTGTCGTCCCTTTCTTCTATTGCCCTCAGTCTTTCCCAGCATTAGGCTCTTCTCCAGTGAGTCCTTCTGGCCAAAGTACTTGAGTTTCAACTTCAGGATGTGGCCTTTTAAAGAGCAGTCAGGGTTGATCTCCTCTAGGACTGACCAGTTTGATCGCCTTGCAGTCCAGGGGACTCGCAGGAGTCTTCTCCAGCACCATAGTTCAAAGGCCTCCATTCTTTTCAGCCTTTCTTATAGTCCAACTTTCATAGCCATACATTGCAACTGGGAGAACAAGGTCAGTTCTGACAAAGAGATTGGACAACATGGAGCCTGTTCTCTGGTTGAAAGAGGAAAAAGGGGGCAATAAATTAGTGAAGGTTTACTCCCTTCTCCCTGAACACTTTTTAAAGAGTTCTTGGGTTTTTTTAAAAAAAAATTGATAAATTTATACAGTCACCCATCTCACGTGAAGTGATTCTGGGCTTTTAAGAAGTCTTCCAAGCAGGCTTGAAGAAGAGGAAAATAGGTAGCTCCAGAAGCTGAAAAGGATGGAAGCGAGCCAGCGTTACAATGTCTGTTATTTTCTACCTTCCAGAAGGCAAGGTTAGCAACATTATTTGCTACCTCAAAACCTTGTCTTCTTGATTGCTCTGCAGTACAGTTGACTTATGAGTCAATGTTTGCCATTCTTAATCATTGGTGTCTTGGAGAGCTCATTAGTGTTTCCATGACAATGTGACCCTAAGATTGTTCTGGTTATCACTCTGCCTGTGCTTGATATTTATAGTCACACCGATGAATGGGGTGCCATGATTATCTAACTGGGAGGACTTGCTTCCTCCCCTGCCCTGATTTCTTTACCATATTTGATATGGAAAAGTGAGAGACCATCGACCGTTGACTGTTGTCTGCATTAATGTTTCTTGTGTTCTCTGGGGAATTTCTGGCAATTGAAGTCCATACATCTTAAACACTGGTCTATATTTTTATTTTTGGTAGATTGATATGCCAGGTAGGGAAAGTTCCAACAGGAACTGGAGAGATTTTAAACGTCATGGCTGAATATTTTGCATTTGTTTTAAGTCATTTAAATTTAGTCTGTACATTTACTCAGAGTATCTTAAGGCTTGTAGTTTCAGGAATAGCTGATTGCATTAAATTGTATAAAATCTTTGTCTGCATTTCTAAGAACTCTTTCTTTAGTTGGATGTTAAACTAAATAAGGGGAAAAGAAAAGCATTTTTAGGAACTAGTTACCTACCTAATCTTAGGCATACATGCAGTCTTATTTCAACTTTTTGTACTTTTTTTTTTTCAGGATGGGAATTATGGGGTTGATTACATCTGGACGACAGATGTTGGGGAAAGTTAATTTATGTGACATATTTAATTGGATCTTTCACAAATATATAGTTCTATCATTACATCCAGTTTGTATTGTACAATACAAACCAGGCATGGAACTGGAAGCAAAGTGTTACTGTGGACTGTCATATTGCCTCTTACTCATTTCTCATTGCTCTGTATTTTGTAAAGAGGAAATTTAATGTTAAATCTGCTTCTAGCAAGTTTTAAACTGCTAAATGATGATGTAGAAGGAGTGACTTAAAATGAAAATTCAGGTTTCTTGTGCTTAGTAAATGAGTTCTGAAGAATAACTGCACCAATTGCATTGCCTGTCCTGATTTTTAATTTTTCTGCTTTCTTGCTCCATTGTAGATTCTCTTTCAAATTGCAGTGAGCAGGGCAGATTGGTTCTGACATACAAGTGCAGCTGCTGAGCAGTAACAAAAGAGGAGGCTTTAGGATGAAGACAGAGTAACAAGCCTGAACAGACATGTTGATTTGAAGGTGAAAATCTAAGTTGGGGGCACCTAGCGTCTGTTGGAAAACCTTGAAGTAGCTGTGTCTTTTTCTGGTCTCCTGTGCCTGCTTCTGTAGCTGATGCACCTGATCCCAGGAACAGATATGCATTCCCTCAGGATCTTCTCAGCAGTGATCCATGAGGTCCATTACATTTGGCCTTTCGAATCCAGGTGACTGCACAGCCCTAACTGATAAGGAAGCATCTTTTGCTTTAACTGGGAAAGAGGACAATAAAAGTGGATAAAACAAATTGTAGATGGTATTAATCCACACCAGGGGGAAACAAGGGCTTATCAAAAGCTGATTCCCCTTGAGTCAAGCTCCTATCCTAGTGGCTAAAAAGGAACCATTTGTGCAGTTTTCTTGAACAGCACTGAATTGGCTTGTCACTGCCTTCTACCAGGACGTTGATTTTTTTTTTTTTTTTAACTTCCTACTATAGGAGAAGATGAGATTTCTGGTGGTTTCCCATCTGGGTCAGACCTTTGTTAGCTTTTTCAAGGTTGGGAGAACATTTTGAACTCTACTTTTATCCCCTGTAAACTTGCTTTGATTTTAAGCGGTGTAATATGCATTTTCTCTGAGCATTCTTTTGTTATAACAAAAGGACTCTGGTAACAAGCTGTCCTGTGCTTGTTAGGATGAGCCCTCAGGCACTAAAAATTCTTACATATTATATATTTTTAATGGCCTGACAGATTTAGTGTTCAAGGTTGACTCGACTCAATGGTCAGTGAGATAGATTTGAAATGCTATCAGTGAGGCATGAAGAGTAAGCGATATATTTCATTCACACGTACAAAACATACACTTTGAGAGCAGTAATCTCTGGGAATAGAGATTCATTTAGCCGATGGTGTTTGATAGAATCAATCTCCATGATTTTTCCTCACTCTACGGAATATGATTGGTCACTTCGGCAATTAAATGTTGAATGAGACAGAAATTTTGCTTATTATTTTGGGGGGGTTTTTTGTGAGTGGGATTTTAAAACAGTGCTAAAGAGCAGGTAAATTTTTGCCAATCTAGCTCTTTGTCAGGAAAGCTCTTAATTTGTTTCTGATATCGGGGAGGAAAGTGGATCTGTTGCAGACTCATCTTGCATTTTAAGAATCAAAATTTCAGTGATGATTTTGTTGAGTAATAATTCAGTTTGTTGATTAGCATGCTATATCTTAGCTGAATAGTAGCAACATGTGTTGATGCAACAATTTTGCTAAGATAGTTTACAGACTGAACCAGCAAGCCATGATGATCTAAATTTAATGTACCATTATGTACTGCCCAAATGGAAGTAATTTGCATAGGGAATAATTTGCATAGTATATGCTAATTAATTAATATTTAGAACTGCTTTGGCATTCTTTTGCTGTGTCCTTACAGTTGAAGTAATTGGAAGACAGATGTCCATAATAAAGCCAAATACCAACATTTGCAAATGTTGGTAACCATCTTCACAGCTTCACCCCACACAGATTTCTTTTATGATTTATCATGGGCCTGAAACATCTTCTCATCTTGTCTTCCAATCTATAAAAGCTCTGAACAGCTATTTACAAGTCTGATTTAGGCTCTATACCAATTACAATGAATAATTTGAAAAGCAGTTTATCTTTAGTTTTTTGTTCATTATGCAACATTCATGAGATTTTATGCATGTATTACAGAGGTTCAAAAGCAACTGGTATATCATCTGTAGAGATGTTTTTAGGTAACCCCTTTGCAGCAAATGAAATGCTTACAGTTTGTCTGATTAGTTGAGATCTTGCAAACAGTTCCCAAATAGTCAAAATTAGTCAATCCTGAGGTGCTAGTCTAGCTTTAGCTTTAACAGTGCTAAAGAAAGAAAATATTCCAAATTTCTAAACAGAACACATCTGCTAATAAATTCATTAGATGAGTTTGCAAAGAACTACTTTTCAGAACATAGCTGCATTCAAATATAAAACCAATTAAAGTGTTAATTTGCATTACAAAAGATTATTGCCTTTTAGATAGAAGGAAAGGATCTTTTGACTAGATGAAAAAATGTTTTAGAAAATCAGTTTGGACTTCCCTACTACCCTCACTGCTTTCCTTCAGAGCCTAGCTCATTTGTACCCTGTCTAACCTGACCAACATTAAACCCCAGCTGTGTTTGTGGTCAGCTACCCAGGAGATTTCATTAGCTCATTAAGTAGCATGTGCTTCTCCTTGCAGAAAAGTCTTGAGTGCTGGCTAATAAACCACTTCTTAGAATCTAGGAACACTTAACCCAACTTTTCCTTGGAAGAGAGATCCTAATAGTGGAAAGATTTATTTATAATCTACAATCGGCTTTTTTTTTTAAAAAAAAAAAACAAAAACAAATTTCCATACAATTTGTTGTATTTTAAATGTTCAACAATGCTTTTATCTAATTGCACAGGAAGTCAATTGGAGTGTCCTGTCTTTGAGGTGACTGAAATCTTCTTGATCCCTCCCTCTCATAACATACATAACACAAAGCCCACTCTGACTATGTGTGTCCTGTTGTTTTGTAGCCTTTTGCCCCAAATTCCACTTCTGTCGTTTCAGTAACAATTTCATGCACAGTTTACTAGCAGATTCCACTGAACGTTGTAGGAATTATTTCTCTGTAAACACCTATAGGGTTATTACATTGGTTAGATTTCCCCACTGCATGGGTTTATTCATAAATGAATGAATCCTTGTTGAAATGGTGCAGAAGGGTATATGGATTCTATGCATTTGTTGTTTTCATAATACATGACCAAGAGTTTTATCTGAAGTATCTTAGGGCTAACTAATTCTGTTTATGTGTTTTAATTATATGATTTCCAGCTCTGTTCCACAGAGAACTTGATGGGGTTTTGTGAGAAACTTAAGAGCAAAATGTAAATTTTAAAGAAAAATTCTTTGGGATAGGCAAGGGATGTCCATAACCATTTTTTCTAAGGGAAAGCAATCACATCCTGGTCATTGAACAGTGATTGGTCAAGTTTTAATTTTATTCCATTTTATTACTAATTTTGTAGCACTAGAGCTTTGCTGCCTGATCGAGGTCCCTGGAATATACCTTCTGAAATGCATATATACATTGTTTTAACCAGTGGATTCCTCCCCCTAAAAAAAATTTGAAAATCTGATACTAGTACTATCAGCATAATTTAGTATGTTGCATACAGGGCCATAAGAAGAGGCATTGTGATGCTAAATACATTTTTAAGTTAGATTTAGATAGTAGTCAATGAAAGAAATGTTGAGGATATAGTATTTGTAAGCCTTATTTATATCTAACCAGTATTGAATTGTCTGGAATAAATTATATGCGACTCGAGTCAAAAATAATAGTTACCCTGCATGGCTTAGCTAGGGCATGTAGAGATGTAGACAACTTGAAAGAAAACGCTGATTTCCTTGCTTCAATCTGGTGGTGATTCACATGTTAGGCCATGCAGGAATTTGTATTCCAAGACTTCTGTTAAACACCCCCAGTGTCTTGTATGAAAGGATGAAGATTTCAAGAAACCACAATTAAACAAAGCATCTCCTTGTATGTAACTATATAGAATAGGGGTGTCAAACTCGCAATGTCACGTGACGTGTCGCGATGTATCGTGACTTTTTTTCCATTGCCGGCAATGGAGTGGGCACAGTTTTGCTATGATGCATCTGGCCCGCAGGCCGACAGTTTGACAACCCTGATATAGAAGCTAAGATTACGGACTTCTTGGGATCTCATTTATAGTAGCTGGTTTCCAGCAAGGGCTGGGCATGGTTTCCTGAGTTGTGCTGTTGCTTGCATCCTGGAGGGAATGAAAAAGCAACAAGAGGATTGCAGATTTTATACTGCAACATGTACATTGTGGTAATCTGATCAAATGAATGCAGACAATCCCTAATTGTCTGAAAATCATGGTATAATAAAAATTGATAACTAAGGAGGGGAGGTTTTTTCATTTAAGGGCATACTTCGTATGAGTTTCTGCAAGGTGTGTTAAAAAATATTGAAGAAAATCAGGATGGTGCAATGAAAGCTCCATATTTTTTTATGTGTGTCACACCCCTATATGACACACATGATTGCACTGGCACAGCCCACCCTCTGAAGACACCCTCTGCAGATCCCCTTGCTTCATAATATATTTTAGTTGTGTCATCCTTGTAACCTATTGATAAAATACTTCCCAATTCTTATTGTAAATGAGCAGGGGGTACTTATCAAAGCTCTTTGTGATGCGGTTATTTAAAGGGATGTGACATTTTATGTTTCCCTAGTGACATTTTTTGGAAGTCATCGCATTAGCAAGACAAATTTAATTCTTCCAATGCCATTTCTAATAAGAAAGTTGCACGAAGAATGTGCCTCAGTAATTCACTGTATTATAACTCCCTGATCTTCATGTGCAGATTAGTATAGGCAACCAAGTAAATAATTATTTAACCACCTTTTTAAATTACATTTTGGAGTAACAAAATCCAGCTTTCGGTGCCTTTTTGAGTTAGTGCTAGGAAGAAATGATTATATCTTACCATGAAATAGAAGATGTGACTTATTTATTATGAAGAGAGATATTCAATAACAGATGCCAGAACTGAACATGCCAAAAGAAAAGTTAACTTCAGCTTCATTGATTTTTGCTTGCAGATTAGCCTGACACGGAAAGAGTAGAAACATATCAAGCAAATATTCATTGTGTCTTTCATAAATGTAGTTATAAAGATGTGCACACAGACAATATAATTCATCATTGCTTTCTTGTCAGTTCTGGAAGAGCACTGTTAGGCATTGGCTGAGTTCATAAAATGAAACAAACCATATTTACAATGTCCTGTTACGTGTAAATCTCAAGATGGGTGTTCTTTAACCTTGAGATCTTGCTGTGAAAACAGCCAGCAAGGTTGGTTTTGAAAAGTAGTCCCATTTGTCCAGCTGACCCAGAACTGCCGGTGCAAGAAATGGAATACATTACAGAATGTACTTGAAAATGCTTCAGGACCAT